TAGCCGTTGGAGTTTTTTATTTATTTATTTAAATTTTATAAATGATTTTAACAATTTATATCATATCATGAAACTATATGAAATAATTTATCAAAACGAATTGTTAAACTATTTTGTAAAATTAATTGATCATGCTATATATATAATTAACTAATTATTGAGGAAACAAATAATTTATAATTAATATAACGATATATAAAAGAATTTATAAAACTTTAATCGTAAATTTTATTACTAACATATTTTGTTTGTTCAAAACATTTTCTGTATAAATGACCATCAATATTATATATGATAATATTTTGCATGGTAAATATTTATTAATTTATATAGATTAGATAATATAATTGTTTATATGCGGCGGTATTACCGTATGCAAAAGTAAAATAATTCAGGCGGCATTGTCGTCCATAAAGATAAAACAATTTAGGCGGTACGACCGTCCATAAATAACACAATATTTCAAATTAATAATTAAGGCGGCTCAGCCGTCCAACAGTAACAAATAAATAATTAAGGCGGCTCAGCCGTCCAATAGTAATAAATAATTAAGGCGGCTCAGCCGTCCATTAATTTAAACAATAATTAACTGATATTTATATATAGCTTGGGGTTAATTCTATTCAAGCATCAATTAATATGTGTATATATCATTAGAACGAATATATAATATTACCTTTGTCGTAGAAGAGCGTTCGTGCTGATAACGTGTTATGAAAAACGAAGAAATATAGAAGACCCGAGAATCAGATCGTTAACTAGAAACCGAAATCGATCGTTTGAGAGACCCAGGAACAAGATTTCAATAATTTTCTTTTCTTGGAATTATGTACAAATGAAGGAGGGAAATGAGCTATTTATAGAAAATCCGAAGTTACTGTTCACGTATACGTATTTATGAACAGTAACCGTATGGCGGGTAAACAGTAACCGTATGGCGGCGTGAACAGTACCCGGCTGCGTGAACAGTGTCCGGCTGCGTGAACAGTACCGTAGCTTCACTATTCATTTATAACAATTGGAACATTGTTTTGTCGTGTAAAAAAGTAACGAAAGCAAAGCATATTAGTTTATTCTTTTATTATTCGTCGCGGAGGATGGTTTTGTAAAATCTAAATTAATCAATAACAAGCGGTTAAGCGCGAATCCATTCGCCGCCGCACGGATCTGATCTGACGTGGCAATCTCTTCACCACTTTATCCGAAACGACAGCGTATCGGATTTGCTAGCAGCTCCGCGAAAAACCCTCCATTTCCGCGACGACGACGAAGGGAAGTTCCTTTGACAGATTTCCTCTCCCTCGCTTGTCGATTCCCTGGTAAATTTTCCTCATTTTGTTTAGATTCTTTATGGGCAGTTGTTGATTTTAACTTTGGTTCAGATTTTTTTTTTATCTGCTCTTTCTTGATTAATTGTTCGGTGAACTTTATTGGCGATTTGGATCGTCTTCAAAAAAACTGGGATCGGAAATTATGGAACAATCGACAAAGTTTCAGATTTTCCGTCCATTTTTGCCTGCTCTCGTGAAAAACCGGGACTTTATAGGGGTAGGGTTGATGTTGTATCTATATTCTGAAGGAATTTAGGCTTTCAAGTTTCGAATGTTGGGGTTTTCCCCCCTTGACGGTATTGTGTCAATTTGGCGGTTCTGTGTTTTCCTCGCCGGCGTGTCGAATTGGTGATGCTGTTCCCTGGAATTTTCCCGGGTGGTAAAATCTAATATCCGTCAATGAATTCAACATGGTAAGAGGTGTGGATTCATCTAATAATATGAATCGTAGGGTTTAATTTCATATCAGGTGAAGATTTTTATTCCATGGGTTTTTTGGTTTCTTCATCTGTTTTGTCAAATTTTAGTAGAGAAAGATGTCAAACTCGAGATTTGTTAGAATTTCCTTGCATATGTAACTTCTTGTGTCTGATTCCTATGTATACATACTGTTTCATCGTCGGTGCTTCGTTTCTCTGGAGCAGGTTTTCAATTACCACTGGATTCTGCCTTCCTTCAGCCTTCATCTTATATTAGTTCTTCTACAACTTTAACCAAGAACCGGAGGTTTATGACTGTATAGCTACTTGTCCAAAAATGGCCCTTTACGGTTCATTGCAACTCTCCCATGGCCTGGGGCTTTGCAGGAACCAAAGGTGCTCTAAGACAGACAAGGTAACAAGTTCTTGACGTCTTTTCCTGGAATTTATCTTTATCTCTTAATTTTGTTTCCCTTTCCTCTAAGCAGTATGAATTGTACGCTTGTTTTTAGAGTTCCATCATAAGCAGGACAAGGCTGCATCAGCCAAATGGTTCTCTCCCATTGCGTGCTCCGGTACTATCTTATGGACTTTTTATTTAGTAGTAAAGTTTGGTAATTTCTTTTATGGCGGTTAGACTTTATTATCACGGCCCTAGGGATATTTCTTAGAATCTTTTCGGAGGCTGCTATTTCTCAGTAACATTTATTGTTTTTTTTTTGGGCATTGAACAGTTGCGGCGACATGATGCATGGAATGTTTCTCTATCAAATTACCTGCATACGCCTAGATTTTCAGTGCTGCACAGAAGTTCAGTTCCATACAGAAACTATTCTTTTAGATGTCATTCTGTATCTGCAGTATGCAAATCAATGGAACCTGCTGTCAAAGCTGCCACTTTGGCCCTAACAAAGTAAGAATTCATCATCTCAATACGTAATTGTATTCCTCAAGGTTGTTATATTGAGCACCCTAGTAGAATGTGAAACTGTTGTAGTTAGTGCAATTTCACTTCTCTTCTTTGATGAGGATGCATTGGTATTGCCATTGTTCTTTTGGAATTTTTGAAGGATTGCATTTCTGTTTCTTCTGACAAGTGCCCTTGTTTATGATTTGGCAAATATTTGCACTTGGTTTTTGGTTATATGCAGGTCTTACAATGCCATTCAAAATTTCCCTGTTGTATATAAGTTGGTTCCGGCTGTTGCCCTTCTTATTTTCTCGATGTGGGGTGTAGTGCCACTTGTTCGTCAAGGAAGAAACCAACTATTCAATGTATGTGCCAGTCATTTCAAATTGATATATGTTCTCTGTTTTCTTTCTCTTGTTCTTTTAAGATATTCTGACTATCATTACCTTTGAAATCTTGTAGAAGAGTGATAACAACTGGAAGAAGAGTAGTACGTACCATGTTATGACTTCGTATATTCAACCTCTGCTGCTGTGGTTAGGAGCCTTATTCATCTGCAGGTATATCTATTATAGATTTCCTGAAGCTTATTGCTGAGATAGTTGTAAGATGGTGTTACTCATTATGAATGTTCCTTATGTAGAGCGTTAGATCCTGTTGTCTTACCCACTGAAGCAAGCCAAGTTGTGAAGGACCGGCTTTTGAATTTCGTGAGATCATTGTCAACTGTACTAGCTTTCGCTTACTGCTTGTCGAGGTAAGTGTTCTGTCTTTCCAGTTACCGATGGCTTCTAGTGCTATGTCTGAATTTGTTATGTCGTCATCATTCCGTGACATCTGATATGGGTCAGATACTTCTTTGCAGTCTTATCCAACAAACCCAGAAGTTGTTCACAGAGACAAGTGACCCGAATGATACAAGAAATGTACGTGCTGAAGAATTCACCAAAATACACACTTTTGATTAATATTGGCTCGGCTGTCTATAAAATTGTTACAGTGCTTCCACAAAGAAGATACAAGAATTAATGATCAATATAATTATCTTTTTGGTATTAAAAAAAAATAGTTTTCCTTCTCATCTAATCTCTTTTTTAATGGTTGCTTATTTGTCTTTGGAATGGGACAGATGGGATTCCAATTTGCGGGGAAAGCCATTTACTCTGCAGTATGGGTTGCTGCTATTTCCCTATTCATGGAGTTGTTGGGTTTCTCTACGCAAAAGTGGCTCACTGCTGGAGGTCTTGGGACAGTTCTGATTACTCTTGCTGGCAGAGAGGTGAAGAAAACTTACTCATTCCTTTTTTTGTGCAAAAAGAGAAAAAAGATTGCTCATATAGAAGATTTGGTTGTTTCAGATACTCACAAACTTCCTTTCAAGTGTTATGATTCATGCAACTCGACCGTTTGTTGTGAACGAGTGGATCCAAACCAAGATTGAAGGTTATGAAGTTTCTGGTACAGTTGAGGTTAGCATTTTTTATTTATAAGAAATGCATTGCTATTTGCTACTTCATTCAAATGATTATAAAACTCTGGACTCATGACATTTCATATTGCTTTTCAAGGTTGGCACACTAACTTTTCTGAAATGGTTGCTGCAACTCTTTTACAGCATGTGGGTTGGTGGTCACCGACCATCATAAGGGGTGAAGACCGAGAAGCAGTTCATATCCCGAACCACAAGTTCACAGTCAATGTTGTCAGAAATCTTACCCAGAAAACTCACTGGCGTATCAAAACTCACCTAGCCATCAGCCACTTGGATGTTAGCAAAATAAATGTCTGTCTCTGCTCATTACATATGCCTTGTCTCTGTCTACTAGGAGATGTTCTGTCTGATTCTCTTGTTCTTCTGGGCCTCTCTCTAAACAGAATATCGTAGCTGACATGCGGAAGGTATTGGCCAAGAACCCTCAAGTTGAGCAGCAGAGGTTGCATAGACGAGTATTCCTTGATAATGTTGACCCCGAGAACCAGGCCCTCTTGGTAAGATTTCTCAGCTGTCTTATATTTCAGTTATCCGTTTTGCATCTACTTCAGTTGATGACTGATTAGAAAATCAAAGATTCTCAATGGAAACATACTTGGCTTGAAGTGATAGGAGCTCACACATGGATTCTCTCGAGCTTTTTTTTTTTTTGTAGATACTGATCCTTTTTTTATCCAACCTGTTGCAGATACTGATCTCGTGTTTTGTGAAAACGTCTCACCACGAAGAATACTTATGTGTGAAGGTAAGACGGTGTTTCTTCTCAGGCATATATGTCGTGTTCCATCGATGAATTTTAAGGATGTTTTTGTTGATGAAACAGGAAGCCATAATGTTGGATCTTCTTAGAGTCATAAGCCACCACCGAGCACGTCTTGCTACACCAATCCGTACAATAAGAAAGATGTATTCTGACTCTGACTTGGAGAACCCACCCTTCGGAGATTCGATATACAACCAAGGTGGTGTTTCGTCCAGACGGCCATTGTTACTAATCGAACCTTCTTACAAAATCAACGGAGAAGACAGATCAAAATCTCAAAACCGGGCATCAAAATCTACTGGAGAGCAAGAAAGCAAGAGTTCAAGTTCCAAGACCAAAGAAGCTCTGATTTCTGATACCAACAGCAAGGTAACAGATGAACCGGGAGCGAAACCAGCAACAAAATCTATCTCGAAACCAAATCCGGTAAAAGATTCAGAGACATCCGGAGCTGAAAAAGCAAAGATCAAAAGCAGTTTCGGCACGAAACCCACCAGGAACGATGAACAACAACGTGAAACTGAGAAAGCAGATGGGTTGCCGTCGGTGTCAAGATCATCAGCTCTCGAGGAGAATATCGTGCTTGGGGTTGCGTTAGAAGGCTCAAAGAGAACTCTCCCCATCGAGGAAGAGATGCATTCACATTCACCTTCTTCTGCCATTGTAGCAGACGCCAAGGAACTGGCTGGAGCTCGAAGAAATGGAAATGGGTCTGCCACAGGTGACAAGGAGAAGAAAGATGGGCAAGTCCAAGCAAATACCGAAGAGTAGTCTAATGAAGTTACGGACGTATTGTACTGAATCAGAAAATGCATTGTATATTTCATTACAGATGAGATGATACATTGAAACAGTTAATGCTGCAATGGCGATGATCAGACAGTATGAATTAGGTGTCAGGATATTGCCCATACCAGTATGGGTTTTGGCTTTCATTTTTTTCCGAAAGTGTGTACCGAAGCCAAACATATGTAACAGGATTATATATCATCACTGATATCGTTTTTCTGATTGGACAGAATCCCAGAATTTATTACAATCCGAAGAAAAGACAGAACCTAAGCGTAAATCAGAAACATGAACATATCTTCCCGCTCCAATATTATGAAAACCAGCTATATCTACACACTGGCCTCTCCTCAACTACCGTAGTGAATAAATAGGTATCATCGCATCAAACCCGCGAATGATTTTATTGTTCCTCTCACTATCGTGTACGCTATAGCCATGGATCCTCTGCCAACCAAGAACGAGAGAGAGAGAGATGAGATGGATCAGACGTGACACATGCAGTCAGGAGCAGGGTAAGTGTATAACGACTGTTTCGGCTTCCTTAAACGGATCTGGCCCTGTCTGTTCACATGCCCTTCACCCACTTTCTGCTGAAACTCGATCCAGGTTAAGCTTTTATTGAGGAATATCTGTCCTATTAACGCCATGTTTGGCCTTATGGTCTTCATATTCTCGAATGTCCTATGACCCACCTGCACATAAAATCGTTTCAAGATCCCGAAATTCTTTACATCGAACAGTTTTCATGGAGAAAAGAGACGTAAAATCAGCAGATGAAAGTTTTTTTTTTTTACTGACAAGGGCATTGTGCATGTTTCCTGGAGAGGCAGAGATGAAGATGTCACTGTGCATGCTCACGTAGTAGTCAACCGCTGCCAAAAGAGACGCCTTTCCTTTGATACGAGCTCGCTCCCCTGATGAAGCAAGGCTTCTCTTGTCTTCCATTCTTGGAAACACTTGCCTTAGTGCTGAAACCCTAGCTTCCCCTCCATATACCTACACAGCAAGATTTGACCAAGAACTTGTCAGCTACCAAGAAAGTCGTTCCTTGATGAGGGAATATGCCCGGAAGGATCGACGAGGAAAAGACCTTGTGGGATGCGAGATAGAGACGGGTGTTGTTGTCGAAACCGAGAGCGGCTAGAAGAAGGCCCATCTCTTCCGGTGTCAACGGGCATCGCCCTTGGCTCCTCAGCTCTTCGTCTGTGAATTGCGAGTTGAGTACCCTTCCTTGCCATATCATTTGTCTGTATTTGGCTAACGCCAGTTTCTCAGCCTTTCCCCCACCGAAATCGCAGGCAGAATGAGCAGCCATATCCTGAAAACATACAAATACTCGGTTTTATCTGACGACAGATCAAACAAAAACCTTCTCTCAACCCCATCTCAGGAAATCAAGAATCTATAATGAGATTTCACAACGATAAGAAAGGAATGTGGAACAGAAGATGAGCATGACAACCTTGTCGAACCGGAGGTGAAGAACAACGAATTTCCCAGGTTCTTGTCTGCTGTGAGAGTTGGTTATATCCGTCAAGTGATCCACATTCTGTTCTTTGTTTCTCCATGACGGATTTCTAAGACGACTTACAAGAGCATCGCCAAGTTCTCTAACATGGGGGACAAACCTCAGTGCCCGGAAATTAACTTTGCATCTCAGCCGTTGGATCTCCGGAGGTAAATGATCGAAGGATAGACGGTGTGAGAATGGGGCAATAGCAGCAATCCCAAAACTACATCAGATACCAAAAACCATACATATTGATTATATTCGAGGTTTTGAGATTCAGAAACTTGCATGCATTCTTCATTGAAAATCTGTTCGGCTTAAAGGGCATACCTTTCAAGAACAGGCAAAACATTCTCGAGATACCAATTGGCAGAAGCATGGACAGGTGCAGTCTTCACACGGGTTTCACGGATTGCTGTGGCATAGTACTCTCTCGTACTCCATGAGAATTTTTCAGGCAGTTCTTTGATTATCCTTACATCATCCTTTAATACATCAATAAAGTGATCCACGTCAAAGATTTCCACAAACGAACTGTACCCATGAAAAAGAAAAAGAAGATGGAATTTCAGCTTAGAACATCAGGAATTCTCTCTGGACCGGAACTACAAAAGACAGCAAACTTTCTTGAGAAACAAACATTACCTGGAATCCTGCCAAACAGGATTCACTTCGAGATACGGAACGACGAGAGTGGCGTTTAGTATCTTTGCAACTGCAACTGCATCACATATCTGTAAACAAAAAAAAAAGCTTTTGAATCAGATGTTGGAATGCAATTTTTGTACAAGAATTTAATGGAAAGCTGAGATTTTTATTTCCGGGTAGATACCGAGCAAACCTGAATACAACTTACCCCCATTCTCTGCTGGTTCAGCCCTCCATCGAGAAACACCTGGATGTAACCTTCTGATTTCTCTGGTATTGCTGCCCCATAGATGATCACGCAAGAAAGTTGAGTACACACGAAAGCAAGAAACGATAAAACGATCATTTGTTCAAGACTTACAAGGGGCATTTCCTGGATCAATGCACGGTTTCCATCCTTGATCAGTCAAAGGCCTCCAGAGATCAGACTGTTCTCCACTCGACTGGACAAAAACGAGGGGAAAAAAAACTCAAATGATTCTTGGTTCTATTACAGAACCAGAGGAGCCACAAAGAAACATATGGCTTACACGTTGCACTGCACTCTTGAGCAGAGACAAATGCCTAGGTTTCACGGCGTTCCATTCCTGCAACAGTTTGCTGAGTTCATCAAACAGTTCCACTAGCTGATCTTGTCAAACGGCCAGAATTCTGACTTGAATAATTAATCCTAAATTATTCGGCAGTCTGATAGCAGTCAATTCCAGTTAATGGGTGCTTATATTGCTCAAAACAAAAATTTACTGAATATGGAGACTAATCTAATTATCCAGTTCAACGCAAAGGCCCCAGAGGAACTCGAGTTGAACTGCAAAATTTCCTGATGTAATAAACCGACTACCATGTCCCTGTATCAACCAAAATGTACATTTTCCGAAAATGTACAACACACACAGGCAAAGCAAAATACCATTTCCGGCATCACAATCCAATGTTCAAGTGAACTTTCCATGGGGAACAAACAAATTCTTACCAGAAAAAGGCAAGCTTGTCTGAAACAGACCAAAAGGTTATCGGAGAGAGAGAGAGAGGAAGAAAAGAACGAAAATTTGCAACTTACAGATGACTTGGAAGAAGCAGCGTGGCTGAGGAGACCGAAAAAATGAGGGAAGAGAACTGGAAACTGCAAGACGAGGAGCACGAAGAGAGTTCCTCCTCTCAGAATCTGGGCAACATCACTGGTGCATTTCTCGTAAAGATTCATCTTCTTGGGCAAAATGAAGGAAAGAAACCCAGATCAAGTTTCTGGGTAAAGATCCAAGCTTTGATCAAAACCCAGTCACGAAACAGCCGAAAACGATCAAAGGTTGTCGGAAAACGACGCAGGAGAAGCAACCACAGTCCACAGCCACCACCAGCCCCCAGCCACAAGAGCCAAAAGTTTAAAAAAAAAAAGAAAGAAAGAAAAGAACCAGAGTCACATATATCAGCTGTGTTCTCTTCTCTCTTCGCTCCTTCTTCCACCTTTTCGCGGTTCTCGGGAAATCAGTGTTTTGTTTTTCCTTCACTCTTTTGGATTAAATGCAGAAACTTTCATCTCTTCCAACAAGTTTTTTTTTTTTTTTCAATTAATCATCGAGAGCTGATTTTAAAGCCATCTCACATGGACACCTATCCGTTAAATTCGCTCTGTCATGGGCCCCCGTACTTTCAGCACAATGAACAAAACCTTTTTTTTCTCTCACCAAAGAAAAAAAAAATCGGTGATTAAACATTTTTTTGTCATTTTAATCAGTGTTCAATTTCATACCCATCTTTTTTATTTCACTCATTAATTAGATTCTTGACAAATAAATATTACCTAATGTCATTAAACCTTATATAAACGTATCATATAAAGTATTTATAAAAAAATAATTCCTTTTGACAATGTAAGCCTATTTCTCGCAATTTCCATATTTTTGTTCAAACTTAATATAGTTTCATAAAATGATTCTGTGAATAGATTATATATGGAACTAAAAAATGAAGATACAAATGTCGTTATTATCAAATCTAATAAAATAGTATGAGGAAATCAATTGGAAACAATTGAATAATGGAATTCCATCCCGGATCATAAAAAAAAAAAAAAATAATGGAGTTTTAAAACCAAAATATCCATGTTTGGTTATAACACCGTCATTAAAAAACAAAACGAATGGAAAAACCGCCACCGACACTTGTTGACGTGTCCTCGAAATTATGAGTTGTACATTCATTTCGGCCCACCAAAGATCCTTTATTCGCCGCGTGTCCTCTATAACCATTAGTGTCCCTTTTTATAAAAAAAAAGGATTATAAAATCAATATTTTTATGCGAGCATCTGTAACTATTCAATGATATATATATATAGAGTGCGTTGATAGTTTTAGTTTATATTTATATGAATTTTTTAGAAAATCCTATATAAACATTTTAATTTTATAAAATATATCAAATAAATATTTTAAATTTTTAATTCTATTTTATTAATATTAAAATATTTTAAATTGAAAAATATTTTAAATAAATATTTTAATTCAAAAAATCAAAATAGTTTATAATCTTAATTTATTTTTTATTTTAAAATTAATATCTAATTTATATTATTTTTATTTTAAAAATTAACATTTAATTTATAGATCGTTGAATTTAATTTGTTAATTATTATTAATTATATTAGTTAAAATATATATTTAAAATATTTTAATATTTAAGATATTAATTAAATTAAAATAATATTTTAGATATTTATTTGATATATTTTACGGTATTATATAAGATTTTCTATAATTTTCCAATCATTTCACGTGGAAAATCATTAGTAAGCGCAAGTGTAATATGTTTTTTTGTCACATCCTGTGATGAAAAATCACATGCATGTCCAAGGGATTATCCCTTTTTATATTTTCCCAACAACTATTTAGGCGTCCAACACAATAAAAAAGGTTTGTTTAGTAATTTCTCTATAGTTGCTTTCTAAAACATAATTTAGTCTGCGCTAAAAATTAAATGTTTGATTCTATTCATCATATAAAAAAAAATCAGCGCATGATTAATTAATACAATAGGTAATTAGATTTGATAAACCGACGAAATCTTCTCTTGTTTGTTTATTTATTAATTTGTTTATATGTGGGTTCTACAAGCAATCTTCAAACTTGTATATATACGAATATCGTGTGAAAAAAAATATATGAATCCACATCTGTGGTCGAGTGGTCCTCGACTGGAAGTGAGGTGTTCCTCTTCCAGGTCAGGAGTTCGAATCCAGACATACGGGAAGGAAAAGGTATAGGCAAAGACTGTGTGTTCAAAAGTTGTTCGGAGATGTAGGTTGGGCCGAAGGTTCAGGTGAACTTACTGGTTTGACAAAAAAAAAATATGAAAACCAAGAAAAATTAATTGGTTTTGTTCATAAACACTAGGGATGGGCATTCGGTTTGGGTATTTCGGTTATTAACCGAACCGACCGATATATACCCGAACCGAACCGAACCGAATCGAATAAAATTAAATAACCGTTTGGTTATGATTTTTTAAAACTCGAAATAACCGAACCCGAACCGAACCGAACCGATTAAAAATTATTAACCGTTTGGTTATAAATTTTTATAAACCGAATTAAACAAACCCGAACCGAACCGAACCAAACCGTTTATATATCTTCATTTATATATATTTATATACATATATGAATGTTTATATTCTTGATTTAATCATTATTTTATTATATTTTAAACGCATTTTATCATTGTTATTATTGTTTTTAAAGTTTTGTGTTATAAACATTAGAAAAAAATGATCTTTATTTATTTAATAGTTTTATATTAAAATATAAATTTAGATATTATTATTTATATGTTAAAATAATTATGATAATATTTTATATTATATTTTATTTGAATATTTTTAATTATAAATGAATTAATTTTTTAAATATTATAACCGAACCGAACCGAATCTTTATTTGGTTATAGTTTGGTTATAGTTTTAAATAGACAAAACCGAACCGAACCGAACCGAAACCGAACCGAACCGAACCTAATAAAATTAATTATTTTATATTATATTTTATTTGGATATTTTAAATTATAAATGAATTGATTTTTTAAATATTATAACCGAACCGAACCGAATCTTTATTTGGTTATAGTTTGGTTATAGTTTTAAATAGACAAAACCGAACCGAACCGAACCGAAACCGAACCGAATAAAATTAATTAACCGTTTGGTTATGAGTTTTAATAACCCGAAATAACCGAACCCGAAATAACTGTAACCGATTAATCCGTAACCGACCGTTCGCCCACCCCTAATAAACACAATATATATATTGAAAGGATCCGTATTTTTGGGGGTAATTGGATCAAATCCATATATGGGCCGAAGCCAATTTTGAGTACCAAATCCGAGCCTCCAAATTGTAAAGTGGGTAGTGGATATACAATTGGGCTTACCCAAACTATTTTAATGGACTTTCTCATTAGCAAAATGACCGTTGGGACCTGTCGGTTATATTTGAATTTGATTATTTTAGTTATACAAAAATTAAAACCATTTGTTTTTTATATATATATATAGAATTCGGTTCGGTTTATTTTGGTTTTATTAGTTAAAATTCTAATTTTTTTTCGAAGAAATTTTCAGTTTATTTATTTATTTTCTATTTGGTTCGGTTTAGAATTTAATATTTTCGGATTTAAAAAGAATTATAAACATTCGGTTATGTCGAATTTGATTCGTGTGATGATTCGGTTAGGAGGGTGCAGATTTGGGCTGCTAACCAGATATTATGTCGGGTATTTTATTGGGCCTATTTCGAGCCCATTAATAGAGTTACCAAAGCCCAAAACTCTAGAAAGTTTTTACTTTTTTTAGTCTCAAAACCAGATTTTATTCCTTGTAATATAATATTTCGCTCCAATTTTTTTTTTTTTTAAAAAAAAAACTGAGACGAAGCTGTTTTACCTTAGCTATCAGACATCGAACATCGATCAGTGTTGGCCGAAACTCTTACTTGATTTACTTCCATTTTTACCGTAAAGCGTTTCTCAACATGGTTGTAGTTTTTACCAAAAAAAAAAAAAAAAAAAACATGGTTGTAGTTCTACGTTCGAAGATCGGGCAAATACTTTGAAGCTGTTTGTCGATAAGGCTTTCTAGTATATGGTGTTAGTACGACTGTTAGGAACTGCTCCTTTTCACCATCATATTTGAAAATTTTCCAGTTTCCTAGTCGTAAATAAGAAAAGAAATGATGAAAAAAAACAAAATGGCACCCCCATTTTTCACCTTCCTCTTATCCTTTCTGTCCCGTTTCCGTACCATTTGCATGTGAACGCTTTCTTGTGTGCTTCTCTCATTCTTGAACACACTTTTTCCACTTTCTTCAAGTCTGGGTTTTGCCCAAACCCGATATTGCAACACAAAATGACTAAATCTGGAAATCTGATTGATAAAATGGAAAGAGAACAACTTCAGAGAAGTTAAAAAAGTAGAACCCAAAGGACAAAAGAACGTCCGTCGTACGTTGTTCTTGGTTTGCTATGTTTGCTTTCGCATAAAGTCGTCTTCAAGTAAGGAATTTTCCACGATTCCCTTCAGTCAAGTTGGGATTTTTTTTTTTCTGGGTTTTCCTCATCTGTTGGTTCTGGATGATAAATTTCTGCCACTTGAAGAGTTTTCCAGTTTCCTGAAGTGCTCATGGAACTTGTTCTCAGCCACTGGGTCTTCGCATTTTGGCTCTCTTGTTGGTTCTTCGTCTCCCCAACTTATTCAGGTAAAGTAAAGTTCAATCCTTTACTCTCTTTTTTTTTTAAAGCTGCCATCTTTTTTTTTCTTTCCATTTTCTCCGCATTGTTCGCTTTTTTTCTAGTCGTCCAATGAAAACCCATTTCTTCTAATTTCTCGAGTTTTGTGGTAAAAGGACCAAAATCTGAGTGAACATCATAAATTCCGTAAACCCCAACACTGACCCTTTAGAAAGATTCAGAGTTCAATTCTTCGGCTGGTTATATCTGAATCGTTGGAAAAAAAATATCCCAATTCACTCAATTCTGAGAATTTTCATGGGTGTTGATCGAAGTGGAAGGGTTACCGAACGATTCGAAGGTTCGAGGAGTGAATTTGGGAGGGTGGCTTGTCATCGAAGGCTGGATTAAGCCTTCGCTGTTCGATGGAATTCCAAACGGAGACATGCTTGTGAGTGAGCGTTTTCCCTCCCCTGAATCCAGAATCTAGGCTTCGTTCCGTTTTTTTGTCGAGGAATTTCTCGTGGGTTTATCAGTTTACATCGAAATCGCAGGATGGCACTCAGATTCAGCTCAAATCAGTGACATTGCAGAAATATGTGAGTGCTGAAAATGGCGGTGGCTCCAATGTTTCAGTCGACAGAGATTCTGCTTCTTCTTGGGAAACCTTCACGGTAAGTTCCCTCTGGAAATCTCCTGTAAGAGACAGAATCCTAATCAATAGGAACGCGACCAGTGATTTCGTTTACAAGTGTAGCGTGTTTCAATCTGTTCATGAAGTGTTCAGAATCTGCAACGTAGTGCCTTCTTTTTCTTTGATCGTGAGCGATGATAATGAATCTTTGTGCTTATTTCGCCGCAGCTATGGAGAGTTTCGGAGTCAGAGTTTAACTTCCGGACAACTCATGGCCAGTTTCTCACCTGCGGCAGTGCAGGCTGTTCTGTCTTTGCCACTGCAGATACTCCGCACATAAACGAGACCTTTCAAGTAGAGAGAAATAACAATGGCAGAGTTCATATCAAACTGAAGACCAATGGGGCCTATCTGCAAGTAAAGTTCTCACCCTTATCACAAAATGCATCCAGAAATCCTCTTTTTAAGATTGCTCTCTGTGGCCAATACCCGATATCTCATTACCCGTTAAAGATTTGAATCTCTTTCGATGTTCGTTATGGACCTCGATGAAAAAAGAAGTTCTACTGGTTTAGAAACAATATAAGCGTGAGAGTATATTCACTTCGCTGTCTAGGCCACCACAGGTAATCAGATCACTGCAGACTATCCACAGACACCGGGATGGGATGACAACTCAGCCACGTTTGAAATGGCGATTATAGCCAATAACTTGCACGGAGATTACCAGCTTGCTAATGGGTATGGATACAACAAGGCGAAAGAGGTTTTCGAGGTAAATTTGAAAGAACTGTGGTATACTTTGAGAGAACCTTCTTTTCTTAACAGCATATATCGGGCGGAATTGCAGAGGCATAGGAACACATTCGTCACGGTAGAGGACTTTGAGTTTCTGTATAGACACGGAATAAACACTGTGAGGATTCCTGTGGGATGGTGGATTGCTTCTGATCCCGACCCTCCATCTCCGTTCATTGGAGGATCCTTAGAAGCGTTAGACAATGCTTTCTCATGGGCAGAGTCGGTTTCCCTTCTTCCCATGTTCCTAGCTATTTCTTCTCCTCTCCACAATTTATCGGCTTATTCTCCAGATCAATGACTTTATCCAGGTCATATGAGATTAAGTGCATAATAGATCTTCACGCGGCTCCCGGGTCACAAAACGGGATGGAACACAGTTCCAGCAGAGATGGAACAACAGGTTGGCCTACAAATTCAGACTATATCTCACAGACATTGGACGTTATAGACTTTCTTGCTTCCAGGTACAAAACAGTTGTCTCTTCCCTTATCCAATCTAATTTACTTTCACCATGTACTCAATTCCATGTTTCTGGTTCTTGAAGGTACTCAAAGCATCCAGCTTTGCTCGGGATCGAGCTTTTGAACGAGCCATCAGAAGTTTCTGTCCCTCTAGACCTGTTGGTTTCGTATTACAAACGGGGTTACGACATAGTGAGAAAACACTCGGCATCTGCGTTCGTTATCTTATGCCAGAGAATAGGAAATGCCGATCCAATGGAGCTTTATCAGGCAAACATAGGATCCCACAACATTGTTGTGGATTTGCATTACTACAATCTCTTCGACACATTCTTTTCCAATCTGAATGCATCGGATAATATCCAGTACATATACAAATCCAGGCAGGCTCAGGTTCAAGCCCTCAGTAGCGCCAACGGCCCTCTCCTCTTTATTGGTAAAATCCTTCAACACAAACCGAGACATTTTGAAAGTGTTGAGAACAGAAAACAGATTCGAAGAGAAGTTCCGTTTTCTCGGGTTTTTCATTTTTCAGGCGAATGGGTGAATGAATGGGACTTGATGAACGGGTCACGGTTAGAGTATCAAGAATTCGGGAAGGCCCAGCTCGAAGTTTACAATGCTGCTTCGTTTGGATGGGCATATTGGACGATCAAGAACGATAGGAAACACTGGGATTTTGAGTGGAACATCAAGAACGGATATCTCCAGCTCGGTATATAACTCTACTCTTATACTTCTCACATCAATGACGGCCGGAAGAAATCAAAAGTTTTACAGTCCTGCCATGGCTACTGTATTCTGCAGGCTACTCGCTTAGAGTCGAAGGTTTTAGCCTTTTCAGGTTTCTCGGACTGATATTATCCACTTTTCATCTTCTCTTGCTGTGATGATCACAAGCTCTATTGAAGATTCAATTTTTTTTTTCACCATTTGTTCTTCCGGTAAGTCTGAAATTTTATTTTTGGCATCTGAATCTGAAAATGGAAATGAAAATCTTTGTACTTTAACGTCAAGATTCTATGGATTGTTGTGGGTAGAGAGCCTGTTCTTGAATCTTCAATGCCAACGACGAAGAACGTTAGAGAAAGACATAAGAGCTTGGACCATTTCTCTACCAAACTATTAGAAAGACGAATTAAAGACAACAACAAACCATCAGCTGAAATCAAAGGGTGCCAAGTTCAAAACGATTTACAAAACCCATAGCGAAAAGGATTTTCTTTTAGGATGAAATGCTAGAAACAGATAACGATACTAGGATCAAACTCGAGAACAATTCTTCGTTCAAGCCCTTTCACCTCTGATCCTCCTCGCGAGCTGGATATCCTTAGGCATGATAGTGACCCTCTTCGCGTGGATCGCGCAAAGATTTGTGTCTTCGAACAAACCCACGAGATACGCCTCCGCCGCTTCCTGGAGAGCTGAGACGGCGCTGCTCTGAAATCGAAGATCCGTCTTGAAATCCTGAGCGATCTCACGAACCAGTCTCTGGAAAGGAAGTTTGCGGATGAGAAGCTCGGTGCTTTTCTGGTACTTCCTGATCTCTCTAAGAGCCACAGTGCCGGGTCGGAACCTGTGAGGCTTCTTCACACCGCCGGTGGCCGGAGCAGACTTTCTCGCGGCCTTTGTCGCCAGCTGCTTCCTCGGAGCCTTGCCTCCAGTGGACTTACGAGCGGTCTGCTTGGTACGAGCCATCTGGAAATCGAAGAAATCGAAAATAAAACGCTGTTATCTGTCTGTTTTTTCGAGAAAGCGATGGAAAATGGTTGGGAAAATCAGGGGATAGTTGGTGGATTTTATGGGAGGCGAAGAAGGCGGAGAGATGAATATTTGGAGGGAGTTTCTAAAATTTCGTCGGGAGGGATATTTACTTTTATCCGTTAGATCATTCTTAACATCGACGGTTCAGATTGATATTTGGTGTAACAATCCGCGTGGTATAGAACCCACCAATCAGAACCTCTCATTCTACCGCCCGTTTTCCTTTTAGATTCTCCCGGCTTTTAACTTTTGGCGCCATTCAAAATTTTCGACACTCGTATGATAAAAACCCTCGGGTAGGTTTCCCTCCTCCCCTAATTAATTTGTTAAATACAATCGATAAAAGAAGCTTTAGATTATAATTTTAATGTTTAAACATTAATATGATCATCTTTATAATAAAATATGTTATAGTTGCGGAAATAAATTGTCTTAATATGTTTTACTTGCGTTTTCTAAGATATAGAGCATTAGGGTTGTCAAACGAGCCAGCTCGGATCATTTTGGGCTCGGCTCATTTGGCTCGGATCGTTTTGGGCTCAGCTCGTTAG